CTCGCGACCTGTACTGGCACCAGGTCATGATGCTCGACATCGCCGCCCTGCTCGCGCTCGCCGTGCTGGCGGTGCTCCTGGTCGCCTTCCTGGTGGTCAAGTGCGCCGTCCAGGTCGTCCGGAAAAACATGCAGCAACGGAAGGAGTCCCTAAAGAGTGCAAAGCAGGACTGATATCACTGGTGACAAGTGGAAGTGGGGTAAGTCCACTTTTTTCAAAAATCACTTTTTTGCATTTTTGGATACTACTGGGTAATAGGAACCATATGGTATATAGTCAAAACTTCTTTAAGTGCAACAAGCCTAGTGTTGAATTTTTTAAATTAAAGCTGTATACTACCCGAGTTATTTGACGTATCCCATGTCAATATGGGATTAGTCCGGGTGTATTTTTTGCAGACAGGCAAAAGTCCAAAACGAGGATTTTCTAAAGAGGCATATGTCCGGATGTGATTTGTCAGAATGACATATATGTCCATAGATCCAGAGGACTTACGCCGTTCTGACAAAGTCACAACCGGGACATACGCCCTTTTCAAAAGTCATGCTTGTGGACATACCCCAGTCTGTGAAGGGGCATATGTCCGGGTGTGATTTGACAGACTGGCGTATGTCCACAAACATGACTTTTGAAAAGGCCATATGTCCCGGTTGTGACTTGTCAGAATGGCGTAAGTCCTCTGGATCTATGGACATATGCCATTCTGACAAATCACATCCGGACATATGCCTCTTTAGAAAATCCTCGTTTTGGACTTTTGCCTGTCTGCAAAAAATACACCCGGACTAATCCCATATTGACATGGGATACGTCAAATAACTCGGGTAGTATACAGCTTTAATTTAAAAAATTCAATCCAGTGTTTCCTATTGCCAAACTGAGCTAGTCCAGGGTATTTGCTTTGCCATCTTGTCTAAATTACAGATACAAACCGTTTTTATGCTCTCCTGAAAAATCGGGTTTTTGGACATACGACCTTTTCACTTTTCACCAGTGATATATTGGTGGGCGGATTTGAAAGAATAGGGCTCCGGAACTTTTAGTCAAAACACAAAAACAAGTTTAGTATATATTTTTAGGTTTCACACGATACAGAAATTTACCATGATTTTAGATCTTCATGCTTTTATATCTGGGGCACAGTAAATCATAACAAGGAAACTAGGCACCTAGTAAGCCATCTGTAAAATAATAATAATAAAAATTAAAAAAAACATCTGCTAATCTTTTGTTAATTTTTAAAAAGGTACCCTTTAAAAAGGTAAATATTCCTATTTTTTCCGCAGGTAGGCCATACCACCACCAAATGCTGTTACTGCACCGTGGGAAAATAATGTAATCGTATGTAATCTTTCACCACTCATTCTCAGAATCGGTACCCGCAAGTGATAAAGCCGATAGCTGTTGTGGCTCCGCAGTCAGTCCGTCAGCTTCCGCGATGCAGCACGCCTCGCCGGCCCGCGCCACGGCGCGACAGAACGTCGTGGTCCTCGTGGCCGCGTTGCTCCTCCCGCTCCTGCTCATGCAGTGCGTCTCTTCGGCCGCTCCTGAGGTCAAGACGACCGCGGCGGTTCCCGCTCGGAAGCCGCTGCGCATCCTCGCCCTCATGACCTTCGACACGATGAGCCACCACATCTGGATGTCGGCGCTGACGGTGGAGCTCGCGAAGCGCGGCCACCTCGTCACCTCCATCGACATCCACAAGCACAGCGAGAACCCGCCCACCCTCAACACGACCGTCATCGAGACGGCCTTCCAGTTCATTGATCAGGAGTACATGAAGCTCTTTATGGCATCCACGGTGCCGGGGCAGATAAGCATGCTCCAGGACATGGGGGAAATAGATTGCAAGCGCGACCTGGCATCACCAACTATGCAGCGTCTACTTGACCCGGCCTTCAAAGGTGCATTTGACCCCATCATCATCGACTACCACGCAGACTGCATGCTAGGCTTCGTCCACCGTTTCAACTATCCCGGCGTGCTCGCAGTATCTGCCTTCCCCGTCGCGCCCTGGGTCGACGACCTGATGCACAACCCGCAGGTGCCGTCGATCCTGGCGCACACCTTGCAGCCCTTCCCGCACCCCATGAACTTGTGGCAGCGCGCCTGGACCCTCTACCTACACGCGCACCAGAAGTTCCTGGTCTGGTGGCGGCGGCCTGTGGAGAACAGCCTCATCAAGAGGTTCTTCGGCGACGACGCACCCTCCGTGGAACAGCTGCGACAGCACGTGCACGTGGCCCTCGTCAACGAGAACCCCGTCCTGGAGGCGCCCAGGCCCTTGCTACCGAGCCAAATCCCCGTCGGCGGCATGCACGTCAAACCCGCCGACCTGGGCAGGATCCCGTCGGTGAGTCCATTTGTACACGTGCACTGTTAAAAATAACTGTCACCTAACGACTTACTGCCTTATTTACACTCCTGTAATGTAACAGAAATGTTGTTTTCATTTGAACACTCTCGAAACTTGTGATATTCGGCCCATAGTGTCCCACAACAAAAACTACTACTTATTACTTTGCTGTACATTTACAAGAAAAGAGAAGTCAATTTTGTTAGCAGCACATTTCGTTCCTAAACAGGACACTCGTATTATTACAATTTTTTTTACAGGAGCAAAACAAAGTAACTGCTTTTGGTCGGAAACTTTGTTTCCGAAATTTTCATTAACGCTGCGTTTTTTTACAGTAAGGCCTGTAAAAATACAGTATATGCTGCTAACAAAATTAATCACATTTTCGCTGTAAATTTACAGCAATTTTTTTAACAGTGGTGTTAGGAGCGAACTAGCAAATGCAAAGGCAGAGGACTAGATGGCTGTATGATTTACGCCACACAACTCACTTGCTGATAAGCATCTGTACAATGCCTGATCCTGCCCCGCTGCTTTCAGTTCTCACAAACACTCTGACTTTCGCTTGCAGGGCCTCCTCAAATGGATGGATGACTCTAAGGACGGATTCATATTTGTGTCGTTTGGATCCGTCATGAAAGGGAAGTCTATTGATCCCGTCAAAAAGCGCGCGCTGGTGAACAGCTTTGCAGCTCTGGCACCCCTCCGGGTACTGTGGAAGATCGAACCGGACGCGGTGGCCGCGGAGCCGGTGACTGCCAACGTGAGAGTGGAGGCATGGGCGCCACAGAACGACCTCTTCGGTGAGTCACGCCACTAGACGCCGCCAAACATTTTCTACTGTTGTTACGTTATCACCTGCACTGATAAACCAAGTGTCCAACTGCTCAACACTTGCAAGTGTGCAACCACAAGTTCAATACTTGCAAGTGTTCAATTCAGTAGTAGTACACTTTGCAAGTGTTAAACTCGGTATTTGTGCACTTGTAAGTGTTCAACTCTCCTCGCTGTACACTTCACTAGATCGGGCGCTTACTGTGAGGGAAGTGTTCAACAGAGGAGTTGCACACTTACAAGTGCACAAATACCGAGTTGAACACTTGCAAGTGTACTACAACTAAATTGAACACTTGAAAGTATTGAACTTGCGGTTGCACACTTACAAGTGTTGAGCAGTTGAACACTTGGTTTATCAGTGTGCACTTTTGTTTAAGAAATATATATCCCTATGAATAATCGGTTCGACTCTCCCGCAGGCCACCCCAACCTGCGCCTATTCGTCTCGCATTGCGGGGGCCTCAGTGTGCAAGAGGCCTCGTACCACGGCGTGCCCGTCCTCGGGACGCCCTTCGTCGTCGACCAGTTCGTCAACCTGGAGAAGGTCGTCGGAGTCGGCATGGGCCGCCGGATGCCGTTCAAAGACATCACAACGGAGCGGTTCGTGGGCGAGATAAATGAGATGCTTACCAACCCCAGGTGAGAAGCGCTAGTGCGCGTAATCTGAGGCCAAGACTCGCCCCTTGCCTACCGGGGTTATGCAACCTAACTGCCTCGCCTATTAAAGTGGCAGAGGGTCTTTCGAATTAGCGGCTAAAAAGCCTGGGGCTCTTGAGAAGCTGCCCCCGACACGCCCGCGGATCTGTGCGTAGGCAACCCATCCGGCACACGAGGCTCACCTGTTCGCTGTTGATTCCGCAGGTACCTCAAGGCCGCGAGGCACACCCGCACGCTGATCCACGACCAGAAGGAGACCCCCCTGGAGCGCGCCGTATGGTGGGCCGAGTACGTCGGTAGGCACCGCGGCGCACCCCACCTCCGCTCCCCTGCTCGCGACCTGTACTGGCACCAGGTCATGATGCTCGACATCGCCGCCCTGCTCGCGCTCGCCGTGCTGGCAGTGCTCCTGGTCGCCTTCTTGGTTGTAAAGTACACAGTCTACTTCGTCCGCAAGGGCAGTCAGCAACACAAGACTCCACTAAAAAGGGCAAAGAAGGACTGATGTTAGTTGTTAGGGCTGATATGAAAGTAAAGACTACCACAGTCTCTAGTCAGGTCGTGAAAACATGTTCAATGGAGTAGATGTTAAGGTAGACACTAATGTTGCCGGAAAAGGGGGGCAATGAGTGGCATAAACAGGGAGTTAAGCGGGCTACATTCATGTGCACACCTGTGGTACGAGTATGCCTACTTTTTGGAGGCAAGCGCAAGTGCAGTTTGCTCGAGTTTACGGTACACTACTGGGCTAGAAAATGGTTGTGTGACATACTAACATATTTGCCCACTTTTCTGGCTACACTGGTTTGCTTAGTGAATTATGTTAAAGGTCATAAGAAAATTTGCTTCATACAAATGTGAATGTATCATCGTAATATACAAACCTCTAAACTATTTTTGTAAATATAAACAAATAATTTTACAGTTTCCACATTATTTATCAAACAGCAATGTGAAGTAACGTTAATTCAATGGAAATTCCGTTACCAAACGAATTCAGCTTAACATCAAAGTCAAGATTTTATTTAAATTGTCAGTTAAGGGAATTCCAAACACCAATAATGTCAAAATTTAATTTGGGCCAACGGAAGCACTTTTCGAGTGTACATCAAGACTGGTTCAAATCCTCTAAGTACTGAGTTAAAACTATCCCTGGACCGAGCGCTAATGGTTAACACACAGATGCCGCACACCTTCCGTTGCCAATGTTGGGGCTGCAAAACCCACTGAGAGGGAAGTCCGGACCTATCCCAGTCACGTTCACGGTGCGGGGCGGGGCGTGGGTGAGACAACAAACAACAAACTTCTGTCAGTCATCGGATCGCGCTGTCCGAGCGGGCCGACCCGAACCCGATGAGTCCGCCGAGAGCGTCCCGAACACAACTGCCCTTATCGGGTCGCGGGGCCAGGGGGATTATCGCGGACGGTCGCCCCCTTTCTCTCCCCTTCTCTTTCTCTCTCGCTCGCTCGCACTACCGGGGACGACCCGGGCGCGCGTGCGACGGCGACGGGGCGTGTTTGTGGCCGCCCTCTCCGCGTCGCGCTCCGCCTCCCGCACCCGGCACCGCGGCACCGCGGCAGAGGCGGCGCGCCGGCCCGCCAGTCCAGCGCGTCCACCAACTGCAGCAACATGTCGCTCAAGATCGGCTTCCTGGGCGGGGGCAAGATGGCCCAGGCCCTGGCCAAGGGCTTCCTCGCCAAGGGTGAGGATGGTGTTTGGTGTTTGTTACGAGATGTGGCATGGAAAGTAGTGCGTGCGCGGGGGCAATGAGCAAAGAGATAAGGTGGTGTCTGTTTGCATCTCGGAGTGCGAGGTGTAAGGCAGTGTAAGACAGTGATTTTCCACGCGAGATTTTCTCTCCTTTTTGGAATAGTGAGTGTATAGTGTACTTGCGGTGGTGTTGCAGGTCTGACCAGTGGAGAAAACATAGTGGCCAGCGCCGCGCCCCAGGACAAACAATGTTTCGAAGCGTTCAAGGTGCTCAAACTTAATGCAACTCACGGTGTGGAGAGATATCTCTCTACACCGTGATGCGACTAAAAGTGCCCGGCGACTTGAAACTCATGTGATAAAATTGTGCAGGGGATGGGCGCTAGTGCAACATCCGACAACTCGCTGGTGGTGAAGCAGTCCCAGGTGGTGTTTGTGTCCGTCAAGCCCGACATGGTTAGCACGGTGCTGCAGCAGGTCAAGCCCGTCGTGTCAAAAGACAACCTCTTCATCTCCATCTGCATGGGCATCTCCATCGCCGACCTGGAGAAGGTAAGTCATAACCACAGTGGCGGAACCCACTCTAGTGCTGCTACGTCCCTTGCGGCTCATATTTTTGGTGCCTATTATTTAATATGGGACCACGACCACATAGTGGTCTGGTCACACCGTAAGGAACGTATCAACAAGTATTCTCTGTCCGCAGGACCTACCGCCGGGCACCCGGGTGGTTCGTGCCATGCCCAACACCCCCGCCCTCGTGGGCAGGGGTGCCTCCGTGTTCACCTGCGGCCACGCGGTCAGCGCCGACGACAGCGCCACGGCCGAGAAGCTCCTCGGCGCCGTGGGCATCGCGCACCAGGTCCAGGAGAAGCTCGTGGACCCCGTCACCGCCCTCAGTGGGTCCGGCCCAGCATACGTAAGTATAACATCCCAACAGATTCCGTCCCGCCAGCTGCAATGTAATCAACCATGAATGATGCCAGGATCACTTCGCTTGGACTTTGATACAAGGGATTACTGGTGGATTAGCTAGATTAGGAGCTTAGCACCCGCGATAACGTATCCGTGAGCGGACTGGGCCCACAAAATCCTTTGCTCTATGCGGGCCAGGTTTCTGATCCGCCCGGGAAAGACTCCGCAATTAATGAGCCATGCAGCTGAAGAGAGCAACGGTCGGTCCACCAGTCTCAGGAGCGTCCGGAGGGCGACAGGTGCGAGTGAGATGCTCGAGCTGGCCATAGCTGCATCCCACCTCGCTTTTGGTGCGCTCGCAGCTCTGGTGGACCGACCGTTGCTCAGCTGTAAAGCAGGCGCGTATAAAGGGAGAGGGGAAAGAGGGGGGCACATTAGATAGTCGCCTGAAAGATAGGCGATGTGATCTACAAAACACCTAAAGGCAACTTACTCTACGCCCCCCCCCCTTTTTTTCCTGTTGGTTGACCGTAAAGAGGAGAGTGTGGCGCGGCGATGTGACCAAAAGTCATAACTAGAATCATTT